CCCAAGGTTGAGGGGCTTTCACCCAGCCCCTAGAGCCTGGCACTTTGAACTTGGACTTAAAGCCTCCAAATTGTAAGAATAAACTCCTGTTTGTTAAAGCCATCCCATTTGTGGTATATTCTTGTCAGAGCAGCACTAGGGAACCAGAACAGTCATGTTGTCAGAGGGACCATTCTCTGCAGAAGGATGTCATGCTTGGTAAAGAGGAGGGTCAATGAAAAATGGGAAGGCCCTCAATGAGATGGATTGACACTGTGGCTGCAGCGATGGTCTCAGGTATGTGTGAGGTTGGCACAGGACCGGGGAGTGTTTCATTCTGCTGTACCTAGGGTTGCTATGAGTCGGAGATAACTTGATGGCACCTAACAACTACAAAAACAACAGAAAATCTTCTTCCCAAGCTTACAGGGAGCACTCACTGTGACAGACCACATTCTGGACCACAAAACACAAATTAACAAATTTAAACTAATTTAAATTTAAACTTATTTAAATTTAAACAAATTTAAACACTTGGGACAAAAAAACAAGTCTCACGAGAAATTAAAAGATATTTCAACTAAGTGGAAATGAATATACAACTTATCAAAATGTGTGGGATACAGCAAATTGCTGGAGGAAAATTCATAGCACTGAATGCACATACTAGAAAATAAGAAAGATCTAATATCAATAAGCTAAACTTCCATTACAGGAAGACAGAAAAAGAGCAAACCGAGTCCATAGTAAGCAGAGGAAAATTACAGAAATTAGAGAACAAATCAACAAAAATGAAAACAGAAAGTCGACTAAACCAAAAACTGGTTCTTTGAAAAGATCTATAAAATAGATAAGCCTCTCTATAAAATAGATAAGCCTCTCTAGCTAGGGTAACTAAGAAAACAAAGTGTAAAGACACAAATTACTAATATCTGAAATGAAAGAGGGGCCATTTATATCAATCCCATAGACATTAGAAGGATGACAGAGGCTTATTATGAACAAATCTATACCCACAAACTTGAAAACCTAGAAGAAATGGATCAATTCCTTGGAAGATACAATGGACCACAATCTTGTATTTAGGTGCCATCCAGTTAGTTCCAACTCATAGTGACCCTGTGTACAACAGAATGAAATACTGCCTTGTCCTGTGCCAGCCTCACAATCTTGCTAGGTTTGAGCCCATTGTTGCAGTCAAGTGTCAATGCATCTTGTTGAGGGTCTTCTTTTTTGCTTCTTGTCCAGGGACCAGTCCTTCCTGATAACATGTCCAAAGTACGTGAAATGTAAAAGAAATCTTGCCATCCTCACTTCTAAAGAGCATTCTGGCTGTACTTTTTCCAAGACAGACTTGTGAGTTCTTCTGGTAGTTCACAGTGCATTCAATATTTTTTACCAGCACCACAATTCAATGCATCAATCTTCTGAGGTCTTCCTTTCTCACTGTCCCAATTTCGCATGCATATGAGATGACTGAGAATACCATGGCTTGGGTCAGGCACACCTTAGTCCTTAAAGTGACATCTTTGCATTTTAACACTTTAAAGAAGTCTTTTGAAGATCTGTTCAATGCAATATGTCATTTTTATTTCTTGACTGCTGCTTCCATAGGCATTTACTGTGGATCCAAGTAAAATGAAATC